AGCTCTGGTTCCCTGGGCAGATCACTCTGGCTCTCACTGGACCCAGAGTCAGTTTGTCTTTTGTGCTTCATCCCAGGCAGCACTTTTCCAAACAGCCCAGTTACTCACAGTCATCTCAGCTACAGCTACACTAGCGGCTTCTTGCGCGATTAATATGCAAATGAGGCTAAGCGTGGAATATCACAGAGCCTCATTTGCATGCCTAATGAGCCACCATCTTTTTCAGAAGAGGCTCTTGCGCAAGAAGGAGCATCTACACTGCCCCTGCTTGCGCAAGAAGGGGCAGTGTAGATGCTCCTTCTTGCGCAAGAGCCTCTTCTGAAAAAGATGGTGGCTCATTAGGCATGCAAATGAGGCTCTGTGATATTCCACGCTTAGCCTCATTTGCATATTAATCGCGCAAGAAGCCGCTAGTGTAGCTGTAGCTGAGATGACTGTGAGTAACTGGGCTGTTTGGAAAAGTGCTGCCTGGGATGAAGCACAAAAGACAAACTGACTCTGGGTCCAGTGAGAGCCAGAGTGATCTGCCCAGGGAACCAGAGCTGCTGACCAGCAGTATCAGTAACAGGCTCCAGCTGCAACACAACAGCTCCTGGTAAGTACATTTCAGAAGTGAAGTGTATGTAAAACATTTTTCAGTTAATTTGTGTAGTACAAGCCACTAACACTTTTTAAAATGTTTGTGCTCTCCAAATTGATGTTTAGATTCTGCAGCAAACAAGTATTTTTCATTAGATTATTGATACCAGCACGTGTAAGTGTACGGGTGTGTGTGAGAATTATGATAACTTCTAATAGCCTCTTCAGCCAAATGTGTATTTCCCCAAGATTGCGGAATCCTGTGTCCTGGTAAAAATCTATATTTGACCATTGAGTCTACAACAAGCCCCACAAAGACCATTTACACTTACAGTGTCTCATTAAAGTTATAGGGGGTCTGTATTTGTGTTGGAGTTCACCCGTGTGAGCTTTTTATTGGCTAGAGGACTAGCTTATTGTTGTCCACATCCAATTTTGAATAGATGCAGTGTTTTTCACTTCCAGCCCAGAATTCTTATTCTGTGGTATAGCTCTGTACTGCCAAACAAAGGTGGCTGCAATTCAATGGTAGGTGTTTATATTGGTTAATTTGGTGAAGCACATGCAGATACAAAATATTATATTCCTGTGTGCTAGTCAGGCTATCACTGAAAGGATGATCTACTTATAACATTGCCAGGTCTCATCTGGAAACATGCATTACAATTTGCCACCTATTACAGAACTTTGAGAGAGTCTGGACTGATAACTACACATGAACAGAGTCAAAGATTTCAGGGTAGTTGATTGGTATAGTTATTTTTTTTAAATCTGTGTGGGGCACAAACCTGAACATAGGTTAAAAAAAAAAGCAATGATGACAACTTATTTAAAGAACACAAAATGCACTATAGAATATATTCTATAGAATATATTCAGGGCTGAAAACGTTGATAGTAATCCCCACCTTGATAGATAGTACTGCCAATGAACTTGTTCTTCGATGTGACAAGAGTAACTCATTCTAGCCCCAAAATAGGTTTTGCAAGAAAAGGTTTTACACAATTATTAGACTTTTTTAAAAATGCCAGTGAACAGTAAGTTCAAACAGCCCACAGTGGGTTGGAAACCAGATCACAAAATGATTGCAATAGTTCAAGCAAAAGCCAGAAAGTAACCAAATGGCAAAAAATAAGTTTGGACTAAAAACTGTTTTAATAATAATAAAATAAAGTATTACCAGTAAGAAAAACATAGGGATTTCTAAACATGTGTATCCACATTTCCAGGAATCTTAGTTCTGGCATATCCAAAACTTAGTGCTGAAGTTAGCATATTAAGACATTAATATATTAGAGTTTTTAAAAGTATATTGTTCTATTATGTGCAAATGCATTCTCATTCCAGTTAGCCAACCAGTAGAGCACGGTGTAGAATTAAAACAGTGAATGATTGTCTGAGCACCCCCAACTTATGAAGAAATAATCTGCATTTGGATTTCCTCATTCTTTCTGAGGAACAGTGTACTAAGGCCATGTTTACATTGCTGTTTGTCAGCAGAACTTATGCTGCTTAGGGTTGTGAGACAGCACACCCCACTTAGCAATGCAAGTTTCACTGTGATCAGTGGTAGCGCTCACAGCACTGTTGACAGCACAACTTCTCACCAACACAAGTCTCCCATTGACATAATTAAACCACCCCCAATCAGTGGCCGTAACTCTCTCCCATCAGCATAGAGCAGCTATTCAAGAGATCTTACAGCTGTGTGGGTACAGCTATGCCTCTGCAATGTCTCAAGAATAGACATAGCTTTAATAACTGAATCTTCCATTTGCTAAAGAATTGGTTTCCATTTCCAGCTTGTGTAACTCAGTCTTTGAAGTGCAAGGCCTTGCCCAGTGAAGGATTGTGAAGGTCACAGAACACACTACCAAAAAGTAGAAAAAGTGAATCTAGAAATCATAGGCCTCTGGCTTTTATCCTAATGGTTTCCCTTAGGCCACATGATATTTTGATACAAGAGGTAGGTAGTACATTTTGCCAGAGATTCAGCTGTGTGTGTGGTATGCTGCAGCAGCAGTTCATGGCAATATGTTCATTGTTGGAATACTGAGGGGCTTTACTAGTCAGTATCTAGCAAGCTCTACTCAGCAAAACACAAGCTGGGAAACAGGAGTTAATAGTATATAGCTGCCCAACCAACATGAATGAAGGGGGGGGGGGGGGGGCAGCAAAAGGCACCTTCCTGATCCCAATGCTGTTTGCCTAAATGTTTCAGCCGCTTTTCGTATGGGGGAGGGGAGATAGGAAGGGGGTAAGCACTTATGCTTTCATGGTTTTCATTTGGAACTTGGAAGCTCAGCAGGCAATCTGAATAGGGAGTTATTATGGCTCCACTGTAACTATATATAAAGTCTCCTATACAAGTGTTCTATAAATAATTAGTGCTTTCCTACGTGGGAAACTTGTGTACAATACCCAAACTGCCACACATCCTTACAGGTCACTAGGTTAGCCTGAAGCTTAGTGCTTCTGTTTAAATGGTTGATCTCACAAACCATCGGTCATGTTGTTCAAATGGAAGACAAAGCTCAATTGTGAGATTATCATTATAATTGCCCAACTTGTCATGTAAACAGTGAAGTTTTCTTAAGTCATATCTTCTCACAAATAATTGCATAACAAATGTTTTGTAGCTGTCAGTATAAAGATACTCAAAAAAAAAAGCAGTTTTCTTTTGTTAAAAAAAAAAACCTTTATTTTTCCACAAGGAAGAGCGATAGGAAAAAATTAAATTGTTTTCAATTTTTTTTTCTGAAAACAGATTCTACAAGGACATATTCAGCACCAAACTGAGAAAAAAAAGAAAAAAGTACAAACAGCCATAGAATATAATCCATAAAGCAAACATTTAATATTGCACTTTGTTTCTCTTAACATTTTGGATTTTACTTATTTTTTCCTAATTCAAAAATTAGGAGTCTATCTTGAATACTGGGCTAAGAACTGTGATGCTCATGTTGTACGATATCAGGAACTGACCGATATTTATAACAACAAGAAAAAATAATGCCTCTAAAAATTACGTAAAATACTTCAATGGAAAGTATAACATTGTTATAACTTTGAATTTGATCAGTTTGGTTATATAGTGCCAATTAGTACAATATTGGTCAATCCTGCTTTGTGTAATTTTTCATTATATTGCGGTAAGTATTTTAATGCTATGCATATCCAACAATTGTTCCCTAGACTTTTTCAAACAAAAAAGGAAAAAAAAACGTAAAACCACCAAATGCCCTTTTATGCCAACAAATCCATTCATGTTTTTTTTTTCATTTTGTGGGGAGGGACATTCACAAAATGGTCTCCCTAAAATTAAAAAACAAAAACAAAAAAGCCCCCAACTTCCTTATTATCCAGTAGATTAGTTTGCTTGTAGAAGTCCAAACCCTTTAACTGAATCACTTAAAACGTGACCCATATTTACACCAGGTTTTTTTTCCACCCTGTCATTTTTAAACATGAAGTGTCTTCCATGTTTTGATAAAGGCCACTTATGGAAAAGCCTAATTTTGTTTTTATGGAGCTTTAAAAACAAGACAGCATTCCATCATTCCACCATGCCGTAGAAAGACTTAAATTTTATTTTCAAATATTTACTTGTAACTCATGGCATTAAATGAATCGAAATAGCCAATCCAAGAAACACTACTTTGTTAAAAATCGTGCTTGAATTTTGAATTTATACATATGCAGCTTTTGCAAATGAACCCTCAAAATTCCTAGTGCCTTCATCTGGATACTTGTGCTAACAGATCCAATGATTCTCTGCCCCTATTCCAAACACTACGATTGTTGGCCCCTTCCACTCTGAACTGTAGAAGTCCCCAGTCTTCAAGTAGTTGAAGTTTTGTTTACAATACATCTACAATTTTTTTTTTATAGATTTATAATGTGGCTGTACAGTTACAATCCTTATGCTTAGACATATTTTAGGTTCTTGAGGGAACCCAGGGAACGCAATCATCAAGGCAAATCTCTATTATTATTCTAGTACAGCTGGTAATTTTGGTTTTCTGGCTAAGTTTCGCTTTTCTGACAATCTTACTGTTTTACAATTTTGCAAACGCTGAAGATAACTATACATAGTGCACAGTAACTGAGCCATCTCACCAACCCCATACTCTTCTTCCACTTCATACTTTAAAGACTTACAATATAGGCGTCTAGAATTGGTGATTAAGTAAAACCATGTATAAAAATAAACGCAATTTCCCTTTCCGCTCCCATGGGCTGAGAAAACTCACTATTAATCATGGATAGTATATTACTATTTCTTTTTTAAATTCTTTAATTCTTGCTGGGTGTGTGCTGGTGCTGTCTTCTTTTAAGCTTCAAAACTTGATGAGTATCTTCTGTAGTTGCAGAAAGATACAAGAGAATGAGGGTGCATGTGTTACTTTTGGGCATGTCCCTTTTTTTAAAAAAATCCTCCTTTAATAATAAAAAAAAAAAAGAAAGAAAGAAAAAAAAGTAACAGTGCAACATAACAAAACACACATAGCATTCCAACAGTTTGGCAAGTGATGAGTTCACCTGAGATTAAGTGATTTTTTAGGCAGTCTGTAACAAAATGCTTCTTTGCGGTAATAGTAGAAAGGCAACAAATTCTTAAAAGAAATCAAGAAGGTATACAATCTTGCAGAAGTCTCTTCTTCTTCTGTTATTTTTTCCACATTACTGTTGCTTATCTACTACAGTAGGCTGCAAAACATACAGCAAGAAGGATTGGCTTGAAGGCATTTGATGTTTGTGATAAATCCACAATAGGATCCAAGCTGAAGAGGTGATAAATGATCAGCCTACTAGGACAATTCTGAGCATGTGCATATGCAGGTAAAGTCCAGGCTACATTAAATTAAAAGAAAAAAGTCAGTGCATTTGTCAAGTTTTTCTCAAAGCTTTCTTTTTGCTCCTTGTTGTGCGGAACACAAACAAGTTTCAATGAGTAACAGTCCCGCATAAATGAAAAAAGCTGTAGTGACACTGAACCGCACAACATAAGCAATGCGCATGTGCAAATTTTCAAATCAGAAGAGGATGTCATCCCTCTTTTACAACATGGTGAGTGTTTTGACACATATTACCATAGGTTAAAAAGGCTGCTCCTAGTATGTGCCAGTATTTAAGGAAAAAAAGCTCAGGTCTTCAAGCAAGTGGAGCAGTCCTATGATACTATAGCTCCAGAAGTATGATCACAGGTTGTTTTCACTTATTCACCATTTTACAGGCAAGAGCAATACCGCTTCCTTTGAAAGTACATCTCCAACATAATGCCATGATCCTCAACACGGCAGAGATACGACACAAAATCCAAGTCAACTCAGCAAGTGAATGATTCCTTCAACGAGAGGGACAAGATGGTCTGTCTTCTGTGGGTTGATCAGGGTTTGGATCAATCTGAATGGGAGGGGGGGAAAAAGGAAATAATTTTAACCTTTTTTAAAAAGATAATCAAATTTATAAGTCACAGACACTGTGATAAACAATTAGACTTTTGGGCCCAATCTAAAAGTCACTAAAGTCAATGGAAAGTGACTAGTTGACTATAATGGACTTTGTATCAGGTGACCAGTGTTCCATAGTGGCTTGCATCCTGTACACATCCATGTTTAATTTAGCTTATTTTAAGATCAATGAAAGGATTGTAGCTGTAACCTGATGATACCTGGAGTTTTGCATAACTAGTTTATCTTCTTGACAGTTAGAGACATACAACTCAACAGGCACCGATACTGCCTTCTCATCCCAGGACACTTTATAGATCTTAAAATCCATCCCAAATGGCATTCAAGCATTTTATATTTAAGGCAGATTTTAAATCAAACTGCTCCAAAAGCATGTCACTTCTCAGCTGGAAGATTATTCAACAAAAGTTTGATTTGTCAAAGGCTGCATGAGAGGGACTTCAGAGACTAAGAAGAGAAAGCCAAATAGCCAGCACTGGCTGATGTGATGGCAGGCAGAAAAACTAATCTGAAGGAGATATGAAATATTCTGAACCTAAACCATGTTAAATTATCTAGATATCCAACAAGATACCCAAAAGGTCAACTCAATACTTGAATTGTTACCCACCAAAGTAACCAAAACTGGAATCACAGGCCTAGTGATATAGCTAAATTTACTTAGTGATGTGTCTGATTAGGCCTAGTTGGCTTAATTAGAATCACTATCTGGCAAGCCAATAAATTACAAATACGAGTTATTGACCAATACCCCCCTTTCCTAGTGTAAAGCTAAAATTCTGAATAATGTGCAAAAAGTTGATTGAATTAGCACAAGTCTGCCAAGGGACTCCTAGGTTTCATGGGCTGATACTCATGAGATTTGAAGCGTTTCTATAATCAACACTAAATAGGCACCATGTTTGAAAGGTGATAAAGTGAGGGTAACCTGCATGATGAGTTTAAGTTAAAGACTGATGCTAGGATAGAAATATTTTTGTTATGGTTTATGATTAGCAGACTTAAGATTACTGGCCCAATAGAAATAAGAGTGATCAAAGAATAACCAAAGAATAATAATTCCATGAGAATTTTCAAAGACTTAGGAATACCTCTTATTCCAACTTATGTCAGTGTAAAATATGGTGTCTGGGAGCTCTGAAAAAGTCAGGCTAATGTTTTCAAAGCTAGGTGTCTTAAAATATGGATTTGGATTTTCATTTTAAGGCATATGATTTATTTTAGTTAAATACAGGTGATAAGCATATGTAGCATCCATGTCATGGGTCTGATAATGCTGTCAGCTGCTCTAGTATAATTCTTCATTAGTCAGTGAAGTAAAATAAATACACCGGTATAAATACACCAGTATGAATCTGAAGTGGAAAATACATTGCTCCATGTTTTGCTTTAGTGGTTTATTTTAATTTTAGAGTGGTGGAATACAGAAGTTCTCATTTTCTACATATTAAACTTCCTCCCCCAGAAAGGAGAATGCAAACATGTGAAACAAAATGTTGTGGCTAACTGCTTTTTTGCTTACTTACCTCTGAATAGAGAGGTGGAGGCAGAAAACGAAACTCCTGGATGTATGCAAATAATGGTCCTTGTAGTGCCCTCTCAAAATCATCATAAGCAGTTATAGGTACAAGGCTGGACTGCCTTTGCTCCTCGGTCCTCCCCCAGAAAGGAGAATGCAAACATGTGAAACAAAATGTTGTGGCTAACTGCTTTTTTGCTTACTTACCTCTGAATAGAGAGGTGGAGGCAGAAAACGAAACTCCTGGATGTATGCAAATAATGGTCCTTGTAGTGCCCTCTCAAAATCATCATAAGCAGTTATAGGTACAAGGCTGGACTGCCTTTGCTCCTCGGTG